GTTCCCTTGTCAAGTCCTTCTTGACAGTGGTATGGATCCAGTCCATCAAGGATACATCCTTTGGCATCCCTTGCATCCTGTAGACTAGGTATCATGCCCTCCCCCAGATAGCTGTAATACCCTCCTGATGAGCTTCTTTTCCTCCCTTTGCCCTGCCCAGTCTTGATTCCATGGCAGCCACTGTGCTTCTCTCTCATTGTACAAATGTAAAGGAATCCCCCTCTTCTTCATACAGATCTCAAAATCTTCTCTTATGTACTTTTTTTTTTTTGAACTTGGACTAGTTTATGGAGGTGGATTTTGTTTGGTTGGTTTTATTGTTGTTGTTGTTGTTGTTTGTTTTGCTTTATTTGGAGATCATTTTATGAAACCCAAGCTAGTCTGGAACTCTCAGTCCTACTGATTTGACTGCTCAACTGAAGGATTTACGGGTGGGCATTACCATGTCCAAGCTACTTTTTCCAAACTTTTTGAAGTATAACCTAGTGCCATAGCCATAACTTCCAAGGGATAAATATCCCTTTGTGATTTGCCCCTCTCAGCCTCCCACCCCTTGCTTCCTTTCTCTGCTAGAGCAGGAAAAATAATACTTCACTTACTAAACTCCCTCAGGCCATTTACATCCGATGGATTCTACCAAGAACTGTTCCACATGGCAGGATCTTTCTATTATTTTCATTTCTGATGCAAAGTCATATTAGAAACACCTTCCCCAACTCTCCTCCTTACAGAGACACCCCCTTCTCGTGCACCAGGCTTTTTCTTTTAAGCCACCAAGCAGCTCTGAAATCATGACACAGAGTTTTAAATGCTCAGTCTAGCCTAGGCACATTTCTAGATAGTCCTTTTAACTTAAACTAATCTGTTTCTCTTTATCAACCTTTTTGCCTTGGGAAAATTTGCCTTTTCTTACTTTCTTGCTTTCTCTTTGTCTGGCTGGCTGATGGCTACCTGGCTTCTTGCCCCAGACATGTCTCTCTTTCTCTCCTCCTCTCAGTATTTCTCCTTTTTCTTTTCAAGCCTGTATTTCTTCTCCTATTTATATTCTCTGCCCCGCAGTGCCACCTATCCCTCTCCTGCCTAGCTACTGGTCATTCAGTTTTTTATTAGACCAATCAGGTGCCTTAAGCAGGCAAGCTAAAAAAAAATCAACACATCTTTTTATTATCAAACAAATAACAAATACAGCATAAACAAATGTAATACATATTTGCCTGGATAAACAGATAATTCACAACATTCCCCCATTACTCTCTATTTAGTCACCTTATTTTATCACCTACTTGAGACCCAAGCTCATTCTGGTAATCTGTGTTGTTGTCTTTTTAGCCTGCTGTGGTATCAGTCTATATCCCGTGAGTTGAAATCTCCATGAAAACAAGGTCGTTGCTGTGTTCTCTGAGTAATTCTGGTTAATCCGTTGCTACACACTGTATCTTAATTTATATCTGATGAATGAATGAATGTATCTTGGCTTACCTTATCAAATAGCAAGAACATTATAACTTTTCAATTAAACAATTTCTGGGTAGGAGATATTTTTAGAAGTTTATTTTCTACTCTATGTTCCCATATTGCATTAAGACTCATAATGGGATAATACACAGAAGAGAGAGGTTTTCACACTGAATGTCTTAAAATCAAAGCTTCAAGAATATGTATATTTCAAGACTGGTGGCAAATTAAATAAGCCTTTTGATTGAAAATGAGGATTTTTTTTACTTTCCTTTGTATAGAAAAAAAGAATGTTTAGTTTATAATTTTGTTTGAATCACTGTTAATACTTACTTTACTTATTGAAACTTGAAAAAGTCAAAGTATCTATGGGAGACATAGTTCCATAGTAAAAGAAGTTGCTGAACAACACAAGACTTTAGTTTAAATCTTAATGCTCATTTAATCTCTGGGTGACTTTTCATGCACCTGAAGCCACGGAACTATGGAGCAGGAGACAGGAGGATTGTGGGGGCTTGCTTTGTGCCAGTTCCAGCTCCATGTTCCATAAGAGACCTGTCTCCAAGAAGTAAGGTGGAGGGTGCTAGAACAGGACACTCAAACACTACTTTGTTCTTCACATATGCATATGCCTACAGGTGTGCATAACACACTCACAGACACACACACACACCACAAAACAATTTGAGGACTGAAAATGTCCTTAATGTTTTACTAGAAGATTCTAATGTTTTTAGTAGAATTTCAGAGAAACTTTATCTTATGTAGACACAAGCATTAAATTTTGTCTCAACTATTTAATCTAATACAGAATGTATTGTTCAGGTTGGCTATGTAAGAGATTACCCTATTTAAAGCTAAAATCAATCCCTTTCTTACTACTCATGTGATAACTGATTTAATTGGTGGTTCTGCTGATCAGGGTTGGGCTATGCTACTTTCAAATGTGTCATTACACACAATTCCTGTGTATCATCTATTATCTGGGAGATTTACCAGCAGTTGACTAGTCAAAGATGAACTCTTCTAGGGAAAAACAAACAACAAGAACAATAAAATGTTTTTGTATCTTGATTACATCATAAGAACAATATACATTTTTCCAGACAGTGACAAGGATCAAGAAAAAAAATGAAAAGTCCACTAGTACTTTTTTTTTCGTGTTTGTTTTTGTCATATTGTCAGCCCCACAGTACAATGCTGTTACAGAGTCAGAAATCAATACAGACTGGAGGAAACTTAAATTCAGCCCATGAGTATAATTAATCTACCACAGGCATAAACACTGGAGGAAAAGAGTAGGCGTAGATATAAACTATAAAGGAAGAAAGAAGAGGGATGGAGAAAGCAAAATTAAAACAAAAGAGGCTTGGGAATGAAACAAAATGGGAAAGAGTTAGAAAAGTGGGGATGTATAGTCCGGAAATTAAATTGCCAGAAGGATGCAGGAGCTAAGATACATGATCTGGAAAACATGGTCAGCTGTGTATACAAGGTATGTCTTAGGGCATAACAGGGTCTTTCAGTTGATGGTTATGTAAGTTTCATCCTGAAAATGGGAGAGGAAGAAGAGAATCCTACAACTCATGGTGTTAGAGATTGGAAACAGGTGACCAGTGTTAGTAATGAAACTTTAATTTTTATTCGAAAAATGGTAAGAATGTAATTGGCAACAAGGTTTTTCTTGAATGTTTTCGCATTTTTTTGTCTTCTTTAACTTGGGAATCTATATAAAATACCCTTTACATTATGTTAGCACTTCACAACCTAGGATAAAATTTTGGTACTAATAGAATAAAATTATTATATTATATTATTTTTA